TATATATATATATATATATATATATATATATATATATTCCCCAACCTGCTGCATTGCCAGAATGTTCACTCTGCTTCTCCCACATTTTGTCTATTTTGGGTAGGAATGGATCCCAATTTGGTCAAGATTCCCTCTGTTTCTCGGTCCTCTCATTTCCTCCGTCCATGCCGAACGAGGATAAGAAGCCCAAAAGGTTTTGCACAGCTTGGACGAGCCATCTGCGCTCGTACTTTTAATATGGGCCCTCTTCTCTGAAAAGTTAAGATCTTCCCATATGTCATAGATATATTACCAAGGCAGTGACATCTCCAGCTCATCCCCTGTTTGGGTATCAGCCAGCACGTCAATGACTTAAATCAAGAAATAGTTTTCTAAGATCTACAGAGACACTTGCTGGAACACCTCAGCAAGCGAGAGTCCAAAAGTGGCAGGCTCAAACCCAGAACCTCAACCAATAGCTGACACCAAATGAGAGACTCCCCCCTGGGCACACAGAGGACTGGGCGACTTGGAAGGCGCTGAACAGACTGCGCTCGGGCACCACGAGATGCAGAGCCAACCTCAAGAAATGGGGCCACAAAGTGGAATCCTCGGCATGCAAGTGTGGAGAAGAGCCAACCACTGACCACCTGCTGCAATGTGCCACATGCACAAGGGAGGACCTTCTTACAGCAACACCAGAGGCACTCCAAGGGGACAGATACTGGTCAAAGGACATTTAATCAACTACCAAGCTTGCAAACTTTGTGTTTTGTTTGTTTGTTGAAAAATGCAATACAACTGTTTGGTTTGCTCCTGACACAATAAATAAATAAAATAAAATATAGATGTATTACAATATAATGGTATAGTATAATATTGTAAGATATATTACTGATATTGTACCATGCTAGTAATATAATACATTGTATATACATATGTTTATATTATAATGTAATACAATACTACTAATAATAATATATTATGATTATATATTTTATATTACATGTAATATTACTAATAATATTACAGTATAATGGAATAGTACAATATAGTAAGCTATAATACTGATATTGTGCTACGGTAATAATATAATACATTGTATATGCATATATTTATATTATAATGTAATACAATACTAGTAATAATAATATATTATTATATAGTTTATATTATATGTAATATTACTAACAATATTACAGTATAATGGAATAGTACAATATAGTAAGATATACTAATATAATACATCGTATATGCATATATTTATATTATAATGCAATACAATACTACTAATAATATATTATAATTATATTTTTATATTACATGCAATATTACTAATAATATTACAGTATAATGGTATAGTACAATATAGTAATATATAATACTGATATTGTGCTGTGCTAGGAATATAATATATTGTGTATATTTGTGTGTGTGTGTGTGTGTATATATATATATATATATATGTAACACAATACTATTACTAATAATAATATATTATTATATAGTTTATATTATATGTAATATTACAGTATAATGGAATAGTACAATATAGTAAGATATACTAATGTAATACATTGTACATGCATATATTTATATTATAATGTAATACAATACTACTACGACTAATATATTATGATTATATGTTTTATATTACATGTAATATTACTAATAATATTACAGTTTAATGGTATAGTACAATATAGTAAAATATAATACTGATATTGTGCTATGCTAGGAATATAATATATTGTGTATATGTGTGTGTGTGTGTGTGTATATATAAATGTAATACAATACTATTACTAATAATAATATATTATTATATATTTTATATTACATGTAATATTACTAATAATATAACAGTGTAATGAAATAGTACAATATAGTAAGATATACTAATACATTGTATATACATATATTTATATTATATTGTAATATACTACTACTAATAATGATATATTATGATTATATATTTTATATTACATGTAATATTACTAATAATATTACAGTATCATGGTATAGTACAATATAGTAATATATAATACTGATATTGTGGTATGCTAATAATAAAATACATTGTATATACATATGTTTATATTATAATGTAATACAATACTACTACTACTACTACTACTACTTCAGAACTGTCATTTTGCTCCTGTTAAGAATCGTAATGTAAATATCTGATATGCAGGGTGGATTTTCATTCACTGGACCAAACTTGGCATGAATACTCAATATTCCCAAATGTGAACACTGGTGGAATTTGGGGGAAATAGACCTTGACATTTGTGAGTTGTAGTTGCTGGGATGTATAGTTCACCTACAATCACAGAGCATTCTGAACTCCACCAATGAGGGAATTGAACCAAACTTGACTCACATAACTCCCATGACCAACAGAAAATACTGAGAGGGTTTGGTGGCATTGACCTTGAATGTGGGAGTTGTAGTTCCCCTACATCCACTGTGGACTCAAACAATGATGGAGCAGGACCAAACTTGGCACGGATACTCCATATGCTCAAACGTGAACACTGGTGGAGTTTGGAGGAAATAGACCTTGACACTTGGGAGTTGTAGTTTCTGGGATGTATAGTTCACCTACAATCAAAGAGTATTCTGAACTCCACCAACGATGGAATTGAACCAAACTTGGCTCACATAACTCCCATGATGAACAGAAAATACTGAGAGGGTTTGGTGGGCATTTACCTTTGGCACAAATACCTGATACACCCAAATGTGAATATTGGTGGTTTGAATCCTGGGAGAGTGGGCTGAGCTCCCTCTGTCAGCTCCAGCTCCCCATGCAGGGACATGAGAGAAGCCTCCCACAAGGGTGGCCAAACATCAAACATCCAGGCAACATCCTTGCAGATGGCCAATTCTCTCACACCAGAAGTTTCTCAAGTCACTCCTGACACACACACACAAAATCCTCACATATAGGACATCACCTCCACCAAGACTTCTTGTAGTTTAGCTATGGAAGTTAACATAATAATAATAACAACAACAATACATCACATAGTCCTAGACACTTGGGAAGTGTTCGACTTGTGATTTTGTGATACAAAATCCAGCATATAGAACTCATTTGCTGTGATAATAGTAATAATAATAATAATCTATATAAATAAAAATCTAATGTTCGTTTATGGGATTAACAGAACTCAAAAACCGCTGGACGAATTGACACCAAATTTGGACAGAATATACCTAACTAGTGAGTGACCATCACTCAAAAAATTGATTTTGTCATTTGGGAGTTATAGTTGCTGGGATTTATAGTTCACCTACAATCAAAGAGCATTCTGAACTCCACCAACGATGGAATTGAACCAAACGTGGCAGACAGGACTCCCATGACTAACAACAGAAAACACTAGAAGGGTTTCGTGGGCATTGACCTTGAGTATGGGAGTTGTAGTTCACCTACATCCAGAGAGCGCCGTGGACTCAAACAATGATGGATCTGGACCAAAATTGGCACAAATATTCCATATGCCCAAATATGAACACAGATGGAGTTTGAAGAAAATAGACCTTGACATTTGGGAGTTGTAGTTGCTGGGATTTATAGTTCACCTACAATCACAGAGCATTCTGAACCCCACCAACGATGGAATTGGGCCAAACTTCTCGCACAGAACCCCCATGTGTGCCACAGCAACGCGTGGCAGGGGATGGCTAGTAATAATAATGATGATGATAATAATAATAATAAATCACATTGTCCTAGACATTCGGGAAGTGTTCAATTTGTGATTTTGTGATATGAAATCCAGCATATAGATCTCATTTGCTGTGACATACTGTGTTTTTGTGTCAGTAGAATAATAATAATAATAATAATAATAATAATAATAATAATACACATGGACCATAATAACAGATCTGTGTTTTCATGTCAGTAAAATAATAATAATAACAACAACAACAATAATAATAAATCACATAATCCTAGTTGCTTGGGAAATGTTTGACTTGTGATTTTGTGATACGAAATCCAGCATATAGTTCTCATTTGCTGTGACATACTTACTGTGTTTTTGTGTCAGTAAAATAATAACAACAACAACAACAACAAATCACACAGTCCTAGATGCTTGGGAAGTGTTCGACTTGTGATTTTGTGATACGGAATCCAGCATATAGATCTCATTTGCTGTGATAATAGTAATAATAATAATAACAACAACAACAACAATAAGCAGCTTTTGCTAGAATATAAGACGACATTTGGTGCTTTTCAATCCACAAGGGACACTTGGCCAAAAGAAAGCCAAAGTCAGCATCCTTTGGCCCATATAAACAAGTAAACAAGCATGTAAACAAACCAAGAAGTACACAAAAAGGGCATTTCATTCCCAACACAGTCATCTGTTGCTCAGAGTAACATCCCGAAGGTCCTGGGTTCAAATCCATGGACTTGGAACCAAGCCAGAACCAAGAGGATCTAGCAAGCCAGGCCGGAAAACAAACTTGCACCTGGATCAGAAGCCAAACCAAAACAAACCCCCCAAAGAGAGATCTGGGTCTGTTTGGGGTCAGAATGCCCCCTTCCTGGCTCCCGGAGCAAAGCAGCGTCTTGGACTGCAATGGTAAACATCTCGTCCCAGAGGATGACAGGCAGGTGAGTCCAACTCGTCAATCAAGGGCTAACCTACGTCTCTCCCAAATGCCCAGGTAAACCTTAACACAAAGGAACGCGATCGTGGAAGGAAGAGATTAGAAAATGACATGCAAGCCTTATATTTACACGACAAACTTCGTCCCTCTGGGTGTTTTGGACTTCAACTCCCACAATCCCTAACAGCCTACCGGCTGTTAGGGATTGTGGGAGTTGAAGTCCAAAACACCCGGAGGGACGAAGTTTGCCCATGCCTGGGTAACAACATCAGAAGCAAAAGCAGAAGGCGGGATTGTTATGATTATTGTCACAAGCAGACGGGGGTTTGTTATGATTATTGTCACAAGCAGAAAGAGGGTTTGTTATGATTATTGTTACCTACCTATCGCTTGGACGCTAAGCAGGGTTGCCTCTGGTTAGGACTTGGATGGGAGGCCGCCGCCGAGGGATCCCATCTGCCGCAGGCTGCGTGTCGGAGGAAGGAACTGGCCCATGCACCTTGTCTCAGAACATCCCACGAAATCCATGAGATCGCCGCAAGTCATTCGCCACCAACTTGGGGAGAGAAGGAAGGAAGGAAGGAAGGAAGGAAAGGAGGAAAGGAGGAAGGAAGAGGGGAGAAGATGATGGGGTCCAAGCCGTGGCTGGCTGGCTGGCTGGTGGAGACTGTCCTCTTTGCGCCTCCCCCTTCAAAGGAGGGAGGGATGGAAGGAGGGATGGAAGGAGGGGAGGAGGGACCAGAATTAAATCAATACTAATACAAAAAAATATTGCGAGGTATTAGCGGTGTCCATCGCCAATGGCTGGGAACACAGGGCCGTCACGTCTCCTGCAGTTTCCTCGCACCCGCCTCCTGCTTTCCCCTCCCTCTCTCTTCCTCCTCCAAACTCCAGCTCCAATTCCCTCTGGAGGAAAACTGGAGAGGACATTTCTTTCCCCCCCACTCAGGACATCATTCCACAGACATATAGACCCCACTCGTTCTAGTTTCCAACAGAACTCACAACCTCTGCCATAGATGTAGTCAAAATGTCAGGAGAGAATGCTTCTAGAGCATGGACATATAGCCTGGAAAACTTACAGCAACCTACTGGAAAGATGTGGTCAAAATGTCAGGAGAGAATGCTTCTAGAACATGGCCATATGGCCTGGAAAACGTACCGCAACCAACTGGAAAGATGTGGTCAAAATGTCAGGAGAGAATGCTTCTAGAGCATGGACATATAGCCTGGAAAACTTACAGCAACCTACTGGAAAGATGTGGTCAAAATGTCAGGAGAGAATGCTTCTAGAGCATGGCCATATGGCCTGGAAAACGTACCGCAACCAACTGGAAAGATGTGGTCAAAATGTCAGGAGAGAATGCTTCTAGAGCATGGACATATAGCCTGGAAAACTTACAGCAACCTACTGGAAAGATGTGGTCAAAATGTCAGGAGAGAATGCTTCTAGAGCATGGCCATATGGCCTGGAAAACGTACCGCAACCAACTGGAAAGATGTGGTCAAAATGTCAGGAGAGAATGCTTCTAGAGCATGGACATATAGCCTGGAAAACTTACAGCAACCTACTGGAAAGATGTGGTCAAAATGTCAGGAGAGAATGCTTCTAGAGCATGGCCATATGGCCTGGAAAACGTACCGCAACCAACTGGAAAGATGTGGTCAAAATGTCAGGAGAGAATGCTTCTAGAGCATGGACATATAGCCTGGAAAACTTACAGCAACCTACTGGAAAGATGTGGTCAAAATGTCAGGAGAGAATGCTTCTAGAGCATGGCCATATGGCCTGGAAAACGTACCGCAACCAACTGGAAAGATGTGGTCAAAATGTCAGGAGAGAATGCTTCTAGAGCATGGCCATATAGCCTGAAAAACTTACAGCAACCAACTGGAAAGATGTGGTCAAAATGTCAGGAGAGAATGCTTCTAGAGCATGGCCATATAGCCTGGAAAACTTACAGCAACCAACTGGAAAGATGTGGTCAAAATGTCAGGAGAGAATGCTTCTAGAGCATGGACATATAGCCTGGAAAACTTACAGCAACCTACTGGAAAGATGTGGTCAAAATGTCAGGAGAGAATGCTTCTGGAACATGGCCAGACATCCCGGAAAACTTACAGCAACCTACTGGAAAGGACAGCTTATCATCTCTCAACAAAGGATTCCCCCAGGCAGTAAGAAGCCAGCCCTGGAACTGCTAGGCCATTAAATGCTAATCAAGGTGGCCAATGGAAACAGTATATAAAGTAAATAAAGAACCACATTCAAAAACAGGGGAACTCCACACAAGAAATGATCAGGGACAGCTAATCACCTCTCAACAAAGGATTCCCCCAGGCAGTAAAGAGCCAGACCTTGAAAACTGCTAGGCCATTAAATGCTAATCATTGTGGCCAATGGAAACAGCAAATAAAGTAAATAAAGAACCACATTCAAAAACAGGGTAACTCCGGACAAGAAACAACCGGGGACAGCTAATCACCTCTCAACAAAGGATTCCCCCAGGCAGTAAAGAGCCAGACCTTGAAAACTGCTGGGCCATTAAATGCTAATGTCCAGGGTGGGAAAAACTTATAGCAACCTACTGGAAAGGACAGATAATCACCTCTCAACAAAGAATTCCCCCAGGAAGTAAGAAGCCACCCCTGAAACTGATAGGCCACAAGTATTAAAGTCATAACAGTAAATGAAGAACAACATTCAAAAACAGGGGAACTCCGGACAAGAAACAACCAGGGACAAATAATCACCACTCAACAAAGGATTCCCCCAGGCAGTAAGAAGTCACCCCTGAAACTGCTAGGCTACCAGTATTTTTTTAAAAAAACCTCTAAAATCATGACAGTAAATGAACAATATTCAAAAACAGTGAAACTCCAGAGAAGAAATGATCAGGGACAGCGAATCACCTCTCAACAAAGGGTTCCCCCAGACAGTAAGAAGTCACCCCTGGAACTGCTATGCAATTCAATGCTAATCAAGGTGGCCAATTGAAACATTCACACTTGCCTGCAACAGACAATCAGGGACATCTAATCACCTCTCAACAAAAGATTCCCCCAGGCAGTAAGAAGTCACCCCTGGAACTGATAGGCCACCAGTATTAAAGTCAAAACAGTAAATAAAGAACAACATTAAAAAACTGGAGAATTCCCGACAAGAAACAATCAGGGACAGGTAATCACCTCTCTACAAAGGATTCCCCCAGGCAGTAAGAAGTCACCCCTGAAACTGCTAGGCTATGAGTATTAAAGTCATAGCAGTAAATAAAGAACAACATTCAAAAACAGAGGAATTCCAGACAAGAAACAACCAGTGACAGGTAATCACCTGTCAACAAAGGATTCCCTCAGGCAGTAAAAAGCCAGACCTTGAAAACTGCTAGGCCATTCGATGCCAATCAAGGTGGCCAATGGCAACATTATCAGTTGCCTCCAACAGGCAAGAATTCTTTCTCCCACCCTGGGCATTAGCATTTAATGGCCCAGCAGTTTTCAAAGTCTGGCTTCTTGCTGCTGGGGGGAATCCTTTGTTGGAAGGGGATTAGTTAGCCTTGATTGTTTCTTGTCTGGATTTCTCCTGGTTTTGAGTGTTCTTTATTTACATTCCCACCCTGGACATCATTCCACAGAGAGAGTGAGAGATAAATCCCACTTGCCTAGTTTCCCACAGACCTCACAACCTCTGAGGATGCCTGCCACAGATGCAGGCGAAACGTCAGGAGAGAATGCTACTGGAGAATGGCCAGACAGCCCTGAAGCCTTCAACAACACACTGGAAAGGATGCTAACCCAGGCATTAGCAAACTTAGGCCCTCCAGGGGGGTTGGACTACAACTCCCACAATTCCTCACAGCCTACCGGCTGTGAGGAATTGTGGGAGTTGTAGTCCAACCTCCCCTGGAGGGCCTAAGTTTGCCCATGCCTGTCTATCTCCTTGCCAAAGTGACTTCTAGATAGACTTTGATGGAAGTTTGACTTCTTTCAAGCTTAAGTCATAAGGAAAGACTCACCTCCACCTGCCCAGCTCCTGAGACCCTTTGGCCCCCTCCCCACCTGCGCCCCCTCCCTTATAGAGCCCAGCCTCTGAGGGGCGGCCCGGCCAGCCAATCAGTGCGCCCCAGGCCCTAGCAACACCCGCCTGATTGGCTGCATGAGGATGGCACCCCTTCCACCCGCTGGTCCAATGAGAAGAGGAGGAGAGAGCTGGGGGCGGGCGCTGGGAGGTTGGCCAGCCAATGGGGAGCGCGGAGGCCCCGCCAGCATGGGAGGTGGGAGGGAGGATAACAAACAGGACGCAAGGAGCCTTAAAGGCGCAGGAGGACATTTCCCAAACAAGGGGACTCCAACTCCCATCATTCCCCACAGGAGCAATTATGGGCTAACTGGGGCCCTCCCTCCAGGTGTCTTGGACTCAAACTCCCATCATTCCCCACAGCCCCAGGCCCTTTCCTTTTCCCCCTCAGACGCTTAAGCTGGGTTGTACGTTTACATTTCCATGTTCCAGGAGCATTCTCTTCTGACGTTTCGCCCACATCTTCGCCCACCTTTGTAAAGAACTAGAAACTGTTTCGATTCCTGTATCGGGCTAAATGGGTAACTTTTTTCACCTTACTAGTTACAAACAAAATGGTTTGTAACAAACACAGCGGGTTGTTGTAGGTTTTTTCAGGCTATATGGCCATGCTCCAGAAGCATTCTCTCCTGACGTTTCGCCCACATCTAATGGCAGGTATCCTCAGAGGTTGTGAGGTCTTTTGGCAACTAGGAAAGTGTGGTTTATATATATGTAAATAAAGAACACTCAAAAACAGGGGAATTCCAAGGCTAACTAATCACCTCCCAACAAAGGATTCCCCTTGGCAGTAAGCCAGACCTTGAAAACTGCTGGGCCATTAAATGCTAATGTCCAAGATGGGAGAAAGAACTCTTGTCTGTTGGAAGTAGGTGTGACTGTTTCCATTGGCCACCTTGATTAGCACTTAATGTTCTAGCAGTTTTCAAGGTATGACTTCTTACTGCCTGGGGGAATCCTTTGTTGGGAGGTGATTAGCTGTCCTTGATTGTCTATTGGAGGTAGGTGTGAATGTTTCCATTGGCCACCTTGATTAGCATTGAATGTCCTTGCAGTTTTCAAGGTATGACTTCTTACCGCCTGGAAGAATCCTTTGTTGAGAGGTGATTGGCTATCCCTGATCGTTTCTTGTCTGGAGTTCCCCTGTTTTTGAATATTGTTCATTTACTGTTATGATTTTAGAGGGTGTTTAAAAAAATACTGGTAGCCTAGCAGTTTCAGGGGTGACTTCTTACTGCCGTGGGGAATCCTTTGTTGAGAGGTGATTAGCTGTCTCTGATCATTTCTTGTCTGGTGTTCCCCTGTTTTTGAATGTTCTTCTTTATTTACTGTTATGACTTTAATACTCATAGCCTATCAGTTTCAGGTGTGACTTCTTACTACCTGGGGGAATCCTTTGTTATCGGACTGCATCACCCAGCATCCTCCATTATCCCATAGCATTCAGACCTTGTACTTAATGTGGGCCCAAACTGGATAAGGTCTAGATGCACCCAGAGTTGGCTCCGGATCTGTGCTTCAAAGGGGTTTTGGTTTTTTGTTTTGTCGTGTCAGGAGTGACTTGAGAAACTGCAAGTCGCTTCTGGTGTGAGAGAATTGGCCGCCTGCAAGGATGTTACCCAAAGGGTGACTTCTGGGGATACATTTGCACAGAACTTAAAAAGCAAGATAGGCCAAGTGATGATCTTACTTGTTTGGGTTGCTGTGAGTTTTCCAGGCTGTCTGGCCATATTCCAGAAGCATTCTCTCCTGACGTTTCGCCTGCATCTATACCAGGCATCTTCAGAGATTGTGAGGTGTTCAATGTATTGTTGAAGGCTTTCATGGCCGGAATCACTGGGTTATTGTAGGTTCTTTCGGGCTCTATGGCCATGTTCTAGAGGCATTCTCTCCTGACGTTTCGCCTGCATCTATGGCAAGCATCCTCTGAGGTAGTGAGGTCTGTTGGAACTAGGAAAATGGGTTTATATATCTGTGGAATGACCAGGGTGGGACAAAGGATTCTTGTCTGCTGGAGCTAGGTGTGGATGTTTCAACTGATCACCTTGATTAGCATTTGATGACCTGGCAGTGCCTGGAGCAATCTTTTGTTGAGATGTGATTAGATGTCATTGTTTCCTCTCTGTTGTTGTGCTGTTGTAATTTTAGAGTTTTTTAAAATACTGGGAGCCAGATTTTGTTCATTTTCATAGTTTCCTCCTTTCTGTGGAAATTGTCCACATGCACAGCACAACAGAGAGGAAACAAACAAGGACAGCTAATCACCTCTCCACAAAAATTGCTCCAGGCACTGCCAGGCCATCAAATGCTAATCAAGGTGGTCATTGAAACATTCCCCCCTAGCTCCAGCAGACAAGAGTCCTTTGTCCCACCCTGGCCATTCCACAGATATATAAACCCTTTTCCCTAGTCCCAACAGACCTCACTACCTCTGAGGATGCTTGCCATAGATGCAGGCGAAACGTCAGGAGAAAATGCCTCTAGACCATGGCCATATAGCCCGAAAAAACCTACAACAACCCGCTGTGAGGTGTGTTTGTTACAAACTGTTTTGTTTGTAACTAGTAAGGTGAAAAAAGTTACCCATTTAGCCCGATACAGGAATCGACACAGTTTCTAGTTCTTGACCAAGGTGACTTTGAAAGGCATGGGGATACGATGTCTTGTCTCCCAAGAAAAGGCCTTTCTCCTTTCTCAAGCAAGGGAATGATCACAAGACAATGGGGAGCTTCCTGGCTCTCGTTTCTGTCCTTCTTTGGGCTTTTGATACATTTGGTGGATTATTATTATTATTATTATTATTATTATTATTATCCACAAGGTTAAAAGCAATTTAAAGCATCGTTTGTGTGCCTTCAGGTTGTTTCTCATTGTTCTCCATAAACAAACCAGGCCAGATTGGTTTGTGGAGGTCTGCTGTGGCCTTCCTTTGAGGCTGAGAGAGTATGACTTCCCAGAGGTCACCCAATGCATTGTCGAAGGCTTTCATGGCCGGAATCATTAGGTTTCTGTGAGTTTTTCAGACTGTTTTGCCAATAATAATACGCAATATATAGTCCCCCTCGAGTAGATACGGTGAGATAAAAATGATGTTTATTATTGGGTTGCTGCGAGTTTTCCGGCCTGCTTGGCCATGTTCCAGAAGCATTCTCTCCTGATATTTCACCCACATCGATGGCAGGCATCCTCAGAGGTTGAGCGGTCTTGTTGGAAGCTAGGCAGGTGAGGTTGACATACCTGCGTGGAAGAAAGAACTCTTGTCTGCTTGAAGCTAGTGTGAATGCTGCAATTGGCCACCTTGATTAGCATCGAATGGCATTGCAGCTTCAAAGCCTGGCTGGTTGCTGCCTGGGGGAATCCTTTACTGAGAGGATCCAGATTCTTGTCTGGAATTCCCCTGCTTTTTGAGAGTCGCCCTTTATTTACTGTCCTGATTTTAGAGTTTTTTAAAATACTGGTTGCCAGATTGTGTTCATTTTCATGGTTTCCCCTTTTCTGTTGAAATTGTCCACATGCTTCTTGTGGATTTCAAAGGCTAATTCAACCAGAGAAGTCAGCCATAGCAGAGCACCTGATGAACCAACCTGGACACAGCATTTTACTTGGGAATACAGAAAGGCTGGACCACTCTCACAACCACCATGTCGGGCTACACAGAGAATGCCCAGAGATCACCGTCTCCCAAAACAGTTACTCTACTCCGAACTCAAGAAAGGGAATCATAATGTTGGTGGACAGGAAAAGAGGTTGAAATATGGGCTTAAAGTCAACCTTAAGAACTGTGGCATAGACACTGAGAACTGGGAAGCCCTGGCCCTTGAGCGCTCTAACTGGAGGTCAGCTGTGACCAGCAGTGCTGCGCAATGTGAAGAGGCACAAATGGAGGGTGAAAGGGAGAAACGTGCCAAGAGGAAGGCAGGTCAAGCCAACCCTAACCAGGACTGTCTTCCATCTGGAAACTGATGTCCCCACGGCGGGAGTAGATGCGGATCAAGAATAGCATTCTACAGTCACCTACGGACCCACCGCCAAGACAACACATCTGGAAGACAATCATTTTCGAGCTAATAATAATAATAATAATAATAATAATACTTTATTTATACCCCGCTACCACATCCCCAAGGGACTCAGTGCAGCTTACATGAGGCTGAGCCCAAAATACATAAATAATAAAAGCAATAACAAATAACAATACAAAACAGTTAAAATAAATCTCATAAAAAATAAGCAATAAACATTGACAGTAGAGCACAACAAACGATTAAAAACCTATGGCTGGGCCAAATGTAATAATTAAAATTTAAAAAATAATGCTGGGTATGAACAGATAAAATATAACTGGGATAGGGTTTTCAGAGAGGGATGGAGGCGTGCAGGCAATTGAGCCAGGAATGTGATGTGGCGGCAAAAAAAGCCAGTGGGATGTTGGCCTGCATCAAGAGGAGCCTAGTGTCTAGATCTAGGGAAGTCATGCTCCCCATGCTCCATTCCGCCTTGGTTAGACCACTTTACCTGGAATACTGTGTCCAATTCTGGGCACCACAATTCAAGAGAGATATTGACAGCTTGAATGTGTCCGGAGGAGGGCGACTCAAAGGATCAAGGGTCTGGAGAAGAAGCACTATGAGGAGCGGCTTAAGGAGCTGGGCATGTTTAGCCTGAAGAAGAGAAGGCTGAGAGGAGATATGATGAGGACCATGTATAAATATGTGAGAGGAAGCCACAGGGAGGAGGAGGAGGGAGCAAGCTTCCTTTCTGCCTCCCTGGAGACTAGGACGCAAGGGAACAATGGCTTCAAACTACAAGAGAGAAGATTCCATCTGAACATGAGGAAGAACTTCCTGACTGTAAGGAGAGCCGTTCAGCAGAGGAACTCACTGCTCCAGAGTGTGGTGGAGGCTCCTACTTTGGAAGCTTTTAAACAGAGGCTAGATGGCCATCTGTCCAGGGGTGCTTTGAATGCAATATT